TTACTTGCTGCCCTCCCCCGGCCCCCACCGCTGTGAACACCTATTAAAACCAGACATAGAGTGTTTCCCTGATTTGTTTCGAGACATGGGAAACCAAGGAAAGGGAAATGTAATTTTGAAAAGCAACTGCACGGCCAAAGAGGAATAGTTGTTTTAACTCCAAATCTTATGTAAAGTGAACCTGTTAAAACCCATTAAAAACCAAATGCTAAAATTTCACATAGCTAAGTTATTATTTCAGTCCTTTTAGGTGGCTTCATCACATAATAAGCAAAATGTAACTTAGGACAAATGACCCCATCAGGGCAGAGTGTATGAAACTCAGCCTGGTGAATGTCAGTTCAAGTTCAGAACGCGGGCGAGGCAGAAGGTTGTATCTGTGTCCTGGAATAGAATTTGAGAGCCCGAGCCAGTGATGGGTGTTCCGCTAGCTTCGGCCTCTGGGAGCTCCCACTGGAAACGAGCTCACCCTTGTGCGCAGTTGGGACTAACAATCGAAGGATGTGCAGTGTGGGGAGGGACGGGCTGAACGTGGCCGATCGTGTGTGAACACAGCTAGTGAGAATGGCAGTCAGCAAGGTGGGTGCACATGGTGGCGTCCTAACTGCAAAATCCGTGGACTCGACATAATGAAGTTGCCAAGTCTGATCCCGTTTCTTTGTATCTCTTCTTCCCGTGGGTCTGACAACGTAACGTAAATGATTTAAAGGGTTTCGACACCAGGTCAAGGGGCTTTCATCTGCCCCTTGTATGTGTCTAATCGCTTTAGAGAAATTACTTTTGGGCAGAGGAATCTTCCTAGTGGTTTGGAGAAGATCTCCTCAGAGAACTCTCCTAAATAAGATCAGCCAGAACAGAATGGGGGAGGCATTGGTGCCGAGAGACTCCAGGAAAAGAACTCCTCAGGCCAGAAGGCTCTGGATGAAGAAAAGGGGAGGCAGAGCTGGTGGGGGTTGGAGTGAGACCTTGCCCTGACTTGGAGGGGGGTGGGGAGGAGAGCAGACTTGCACCAAGGAGGCCGGGCCCCATGATTGTACGTGCTCCGTGGGCTGGGGGTTAGAGAGAGAAACTGATTGCATGGCTGAAACCCAAGTCATGGATGCTTCTTTCCTGGAAGCAATCCTTACATCAGAAGTTGGGTATCTTAGGAGGATGGTCACTAAAGCTTATTGCAGTCACACCTTCCAGATCCTTCAGAAACTCTAAGGGGAGACGTTAGCCTACGAAAGACAGTAAGGCACGGCTGAGCTTCCTGGGGTTGGCCTGTCATTCCTGGGCTCCCTCTCTCTGTGGCTCTGGTGTCCGTCTACATGGAAGGGGCAGGGCTGTGACTTTGGCTCAAGGACTAATGCAGCTGGCACGTCACAGCATTGTAAGACCCTGTGCCTGACTGTCCATTCTGCCTCGTGGTTCCTCGGCCTCACGGTGAACCGATGTTTCACATGTCTTCGAGCTGCACGTTGCTCACATGGTAACACACAGGCCCTGCAGGGTTTGGATGTGAGCCACACTTCCCGAAGGGTTTGAGCTCGCGGGTGCAGACCAGTAGGACTCCAGGACTTGGTTTTCATGATTCTCCTGTCTAGAGACACACGGGGCCGAGCGTGTGCGACTTTGCTGGGCCCACGATGCTGTTGTGTGTGCAGTAATAGCATCTGCTGCTTACTGTTTCCATAAGTCAGATTCTCAGCCACAGGGGTGCTTGTCTCTCGGTGAGCATGAACTTGGTCTTGACCTTTGGTCTCGGGCTGCTGAACGATGTGCTTACTAGCAGTGCACTTTGGCTCCTAAGATCCCAGAGCACCAAGTCGGGGGGAGGGGGGCTGTCAGGACAGCCGGCGTTGGACACTCACCTTGGGATTCCGTCTTTACCATGTTTACTGTCAATATGACCCTCTCGGTTCCCTTCCTCCTTCAAGCTCCCTGAGCGAGATGCTCCCGACCTCCCCCGGGCTCACCGGCATTTTGTGAGCGTCTGGTGTTCTGCCTTGTCAGCCGCTCTGCCGAGGGACCGCGGCCGGGCATGGTTGTGCCTTATCGGTCAGCTGGCGGCTCCTCCCCGCCCCACCTTCCTGAAGGTTCGGGGAGAGCGTTCCTGTCTCCCGCCTTCTCCCCCAGCCTGGAGATGCCCTCCGTGTAGATGTTGGTCTGTTCCTACTCGCACTCCCACCCCACCCCCGTCGCACAGAGACGGTCACCCCTGAGATGGAGGTCAGCTGACCTGCGGGGGGGCGGGGGGCCGAGGGGAAGGCGTGTGCCTCTCACCGTGGCTGCTGCGCCCGGGCTCTCGCGGCGCCTGGGGGTGAACGCCCGTCAGGCTGCCTTTGCTCAGGGCTATTCTGGAAGGCGCCCCGTCCCCCGGCGGTCTCGTGGCCCCTGGCCTTGGGCCTGGTCTGCACTCCGGCAGGTGCAGGCAGGTCACCTGGACTCAAGGGCTAGCTTGTAGGTCCGGCCAGGAAGGCCCGCCCTCCGGGCCTCTGCGTCTCAGTGGGTCTCAGTGGGGCGTCCGTCCTAGTGACCGTCCTCCCTCAGGCATGAGATGCCAGGGGAAGCTTCTGCTCACTTTCATTTTATTTTATTTTATTTTATAGAGTTTTTGCAGGTATCTGCCCTTTTTTATTATATCGTCTCTTTGTGCTATAAATGGTCACAACTTAATGTAGAAAAAGATGGTTCGGGATGGATTTAAACGGCTTTAGTCCTACAAACATTTTTCTGGGGTTTGCAAGCACCTAAGAAAATATGTTTTCATTGTTACCTAACTGACGGTGGTTGTGTGGCAGACAGACCCTGAGACGTCTCCTTTGAGTCCCCATCGCCCAGCCCCCCCCCCCCCGGGCTCTCCATGTCCTGCATTGTTCTCTCTGAGCCGTTGCTTCACGTCCCTTGTAAAGTCCTGTGTCTCGGGCAGCCCCTCACGTTTCCTGCCTTCGTCCGTAGTTTTCCGTTCTCCTGGGGACCGACGGGCGCGGAAGAACTTGCCCCTCCGCCCCCCGAGCTGCGCCTCCCCCGTTATTGAACCGTTTCTGAAGCCCACAGCCACCCGTAGTCACTAGAAAACAGCAGCCACTGAGCCCGGCCCCTGCCTGTCCTCCGGCCTCACGGCCGGCGCCGCTGCATAGCTCCTGTCCTCTCGTCACTTGTGTTCCAGTCCTGCGTCATGACCGCCACTCAGGTTCCAACTCCCCGGAGCCGAGGTTCTCAAACCACGAGGCTTAAGGCTCCTGCGGGCTCGTTAGCGTGGAAGTTCTCGCTGGGCGCGTCTGGTGTGGAGCCTGCGGTGTGACTAGCCCCTGGGCGAGGTGAGGTGGCGCTCTGGGGGGTGTGGTGACGGCCGCCTTCTGTGCCCAACGCGGAGAGTGTGGGTGTGGAGTCGGGATTGGGATAGGATTGTCGGATTTAGCAACTAAAATACGGGACACCCAATTACGTTCGGTCATCAGATAAACCACAAATCGATTTTTATAGAAGTGTGTCCAAAAATTACATGGGACATACTTTTTTTAATGTTTGTTTTATTTTGAGAGAGCTCGAGCTCACGCACGTGCGTGTGCATGCACGTGAGCGGGAGAGGGGGAGAGAGAGTCCCGAGAAGGCTCCTCGCTGCCACGAGGGACTCTAATGAACTGTGAGATCATGACCTGAGCCAGAGTCAGGAGCTAGTCCCCTAGCTGACCGGGCCACCCAGGCACCCCGTGGGACATACTTTTATAAAAATCAATTGATGGTTTATCTGAAATTCAAATTTAACCAGGCATCTTGCATTTTATCTGGCCATCCAAGTGTGCTGGAAGGCCGTGGACTGAGAGGCGCCCAGGTAGGTCAGTTGGTTGTCTGACTCTTGGTTTCGCCTCGGGTCATGATCGTGGGTTCGACCCCTGCATCCGGCTCCTTGCTGACAGTGCAGAGCCTGCTTCAGATTCTCTCTTTCTCTCTCTTTCATAATAAATAAACATTAAAAAAAAAAAAAAAAAAAAGGCAGTGGATGTGGTCTCCACCCATCACCCCTATAGTGCCATGTAGTGTTATTCAAATACTTATCTAGGAAGTCTTGTGATGGTAGAGGCTTTTGAGAATTAAAGAATCTAAAAAGTTGGTTAAGGGGCTCCTGGGTGGCTCAGTCAGTTAAGCGTCCGACTTTGGCTCTGGTCATGATCACGTGGTCCGTGAGTTCAAACCCCACATCCAGCTCTGTGCTGACAGCTTGGAGCCTGGAGCTGCTTCAGATTCTGTGTCTCCCTCTCTCTGCCCCTCCCCTGCTTGTGTTCTCTGTCTCTGCGTCAAATATAAACATTTTAAAAACTTAAAAAAGTAAAGGTTGGTCGAAAGAGTGAAAGTCCAGGGTAATCATACAATACCAGCTGGCCCTTGACTTTTTCGGAGTAACCACTTGCTTTTGGAATAGAAAGCAAGGATGGTAACTGCACATAAATGCCAAGTTCATCCAGTTTGGGTTAAAAGATCCAGAGAAATACTCCACTGAGTCACCTGGAGTCTTGCAGAGCTTGGGGTGGTCATCTGTTCCTTACCGAAAGGAGTATTAAAGGACCTCTCTGTTCAAAGGCTTCCACGCAGTTAGGGAAAGGAAAGCTACCCGTGAGAAGGGCAAGTGAACTGTGTACTTTGTGGAACACGAGCACGTGGGAGTGTTAGATTCTGGAGTGCTGCGTACCTACGCTGGAGTCCTCATTCCACCTCTTTACCTGTGACCTTGGGCCAGGCCCTTAACCTTTCTGTGCAAGAAGTGCTTTCATTCAAAAAGGGGAGCTAATGCCTGTCAGGAAGTGTTGCTGGGTTAGTAAATGATACATGATCGCAAGCCGCTGTCATTGGCACTTAGGTGCTTAATCGAAATGCCACAGAAGTGACTTCACAAGAGAGGCAAGAATTTAACCTGTTCCCTTTAGCAGGTGGGACGAGTGAAGGATGGTTCGTACGTTAATTATCTTCGCTGACGGCCTTCCTGCTAACGGGTTTCTGTGTTTTTCTACCTGGTCTAGGATTAACACAGATTCCTCAGATCCAAAAGACTGAAATTTCCTTTCGCCCGAACGACCCCAAGAGCTATGAGGCATATGTGCTCAACATCGTTCGGTTCCTGGAGAAGTACAAGGATTCGGCCCAGAAGGATGAAATGATTTTTGAAGACTGTGGCAGTAAGTTGACTAATTTTGGATGTTTTTGCAGTTGGTGTCTTCTTAGTTCCCATTTCTGTTATTTAATGATTGCAAGATAAGACTCCTGAAATAATTAAATGATTGGACTCTGGCCATGTTGAGAGGACACTTTTTTTTTTTTTTTTTTTAAAGCAAGACGACTTTATGGTTTAGGCTTGGATGCAGTGGGAGAAACACTGTAGCTTCAAGTATTACAATTATCTGCCTTTGAAAAGCGTCTTATTTTAAAACCCTCCCAGGCACCGCTCTGACCCAAAGTTACGGTTCTCTTACATCCACTGATTTTGAGCAGCACGATTGTTTATATTTCCAGGTTTCTGCCTCCGTCCCCAGGTCTCCCCACAGAAGGGTTCAGGGCTTTCTCTTACTACACTGACTCTGATATAATTGGCTGTAACTGCACCGATGTGGATGAAGGGTAGGGGCCTTCATCCCTGCTTGGGATGGATACTCAGTACGTCCTCGGCAGCTGAGCATTTGGGTAAGGAGATGACTGACGAAGGCGAAGGGTGGCTCTTGGTTCCGTGAAGCCGCTGACGGGAGCACACCGCCTGGAGCGTGCGCTTCCCGCCGGCTTTTCATCCTACTCAGACAAGGTCTCCGTCTGAGTTCTGAGGTGGCGCCTGCCCTTCCTGCCCCGCCAGCGCCAGCTCCTCACGGGGTACTGTTTGCTTGGTCCTGCTGTGGGCGAGTTGCCATTTGAAGCCATCCTGAAGGGAGTAATTGAAAAGAAACATTTTCACTACTTTTTTCCTTAGGACTTAAAGGGGGTTCTCACCTTACTTTGCAGTAATTAAGAGGCCTGTATGAGAGAGAATTGGGGTGAATCACTTCCCTGGAGATGGACTGAATTGAGGCACTTGACCACTTACGGGGGAAAACGGTGAACTTGTCACCTTAGAAATATATATAAATTATGGCGTTTGCATCGGTTTCCTGTAGGTTGCTTTGTATTAACTCGGAATTCTCTAGCTCATGTCCCCTCTCTCTGTCTTTGTTATGAGATGTGAGTAAAAAATACTACAATACAGCTTCTCAGCTGAATAAATGCCTGTAAAAAAGTCACAGCTTGAAAAGGCAAAAATTGAAAAAAAAAACACTTTTTTAAACCTTGAACAGGGGCTGAAAAGGAAGAGAATAATTCTTCCCTTACTGTTGAACATGCTAATCCGTAGACGGTGGCCCAGCCACGGCCAGGCAGCTGTGACCAAAAACCTTCCGGTTCTGAAAATTATTGATGCTCCTCTTAGTTTGTGCTCCAATTGCAATGTCCCTGATAATGAGCTCGGCTGGTGTTGACCTGTGTCAGGGAGGCTGCTCACGACGGGCGGTCAGGTTTCTGGTCAGTCTCCTAAATAGGCAAGTCATCCGTTATCGACAGGAAGAGACATATTGCCACAGACCACACCTCACCCACCGAGCGCCAAGTGCTGTGAGGCCATGGTGTGCGATCGTTACCAGCAGTCACTGTGGGTCAGCTGCCTTCTTCACGTCGGTGAGCGCGGGACGGTTTGCTGGAAACCCTTGCTTCGTGCAGGCCACGCGCGAGGGGCAGAACGGCCTGGTCTCGGTCGGTCGTTGTGCAGGAAGACCTCTCCTTCCTTTTTGTTCTTCTTGTTGGCACGTTGTAAGAACGGTGTTTGCGTTTTCAGACGTGCCCAGCGAAATCAAGGAACGGGGAGAATTCAACAACGAGCGGGGCGAGCGGAAAGTCTGCAGGTTCAAGCTGGAGTGGTTGGGGAATTGCTCCGGAATAAACGACGAGACTTACGGCTACAAAGAGGGCAAACCGTGCATCCTCATAAAGCTCAACCGGGTTCTGGGCTTCAAACCTAAGGCAAGTAATGCTTTAAGTCCTGCAGCTTCCGGGCGCCACTTTCTTTGGGGCGGAGTCTTTCATTGGCATGAGGAGAGCGTGTGAGGAAGTGTTAGTTACCCAGTGGCGACTTTGCAGCCCGGTCAGTAGAGGAACCCGACAGCTGTGTCCTCCCTGAAACCCTTGGGGTTAGGTCCTTTCTCCCGTTTTCTAGAGAGATTCTGGGGGCAGGGCCGCATCCTGGAGCGGGTCTGGTGGCTCTGCTCTTAGTTCCTCTGTAATGTAATTGGGCAGCGTAGACTCTTGGAAAGTGAACATAGAAAAAGATACTTGAAAATTTAAAAACTGTCTGCACGCACAGTCTTACTTTGGTCCCGGGACTCTGGGAGCCCAAGCGTATTTAAAAAAAAAAAAATGATTGGGGCGCCTGGGTGGCTTAGTCGGTTAAGCGTCCGACTTTCGCTTAGGTCATGATCTCGCGGTTCGTGGGTTCGAGCCCCGCGTCGGGCTCTGTGCTGACTGCCAGCTCAGAGCCTGGAGCCTGTTTCAGTCTGTGACTCCCTCTCTCTCTGACCCTCCCCTGCTCACGCTGTCTCTCTCTCTCTCTCCTAGAAATAAATAAAACGTTTAAAAAAAAGATAAAGTGGAAAAAAAAAAAAAAAAACCAGAAAAACCCAAACAGGTTTTTTCATTGCAAAAGTGGGAGCTGGACCCCATGCAGGCTGAACTGTGATGACCGCGGCCCCGGGGGGGTGAGCAGGACTTGCCCGCTGAGAAATGGCGCGTCGCCGTCGCTCGCCATGAGGGGGGACAATAGTAATTCTTCAGAAGGAGGAAAGATGTCTTGGGGTCATCTCTGCTTTTGTAAAACCGCTTATTTCACTCTGTCCTTCAGGTCGTGGGAAGTAGAGCTGCCTTTTCCCTTCAGGGAGGCTTCTTCCCGCAGCTGCCCCACGGGTCCGCCCGCAGGGTTTCAGTTATTATTTAAAAACATTTTTTTAAGTTTATATAATTTTTGAGAGACAGACAGAGTGTGAGCGGAGGAGGGGCAGAGAGAGCGGGAGAGAGAGAATCCCAAGCGGGCCCCATCCACACCGTAGCCGGAGTCCGACGTGGGGCTCACACTCCCAAACCGTGATCCCGGGACCTGGGCCCAAGCCGAGTCGGATGCTTAACCGACTGGCCCCCCGGGCGCCCCGAGCTTTCAGTTCTGCGAGGAACGGAGTGTGCCGCGTTCCAGGAACAGACTTCCTCCTTTCTGGAACCTGCCCTTTGGCTCCCTAATTTTCTGCCGTATGCTCTTCATTCGTCTCCACGCTCCTTGTTACTCCCGAGTCATCGTTAGAAAATCAAGGGTGAGATGAGCGGTTTTAACTGACGGACGCAAAGTCCTTTACGGCCTCCGGAGGGTGTGCGGGACGGATGGCGCCCCGCCCACGGGGGGTAACGCGCCTCTCTCCCAACAGAACTTTAGTCTCCCTCTTACTGAAGTGAGGATATGATGGAGGGAGGTGGCGGGGGCCACTCTGTCACACTTGAGCGGGGAGCCGCCCTGCCGGGGACCCCTTCGCGGGGCTGGGTCCGCCGTTCAGCCTCGGAAGGGACGGGTGCGGTGTTCCGAGGGGCCAAACCCTAATCTTGGCTCTCTGAATCCAGCGCTGCTGATGACGCCTCGTTGTAGGTCCCGAGTGACGTTTGTACCCGCAGAGAGTGTCCGTCTAGCCGGCGTGACCCCCACCTCTCCCCACATCTGTAGGGAGAGCGGTTAAGTGAGGAAGGAGCTCGCCTGCTCCTATTTCCGGGCCTTGTCGTCTCTGGTCTCGGCTTGCCAGCCTCTGATTCATCACCCCGTTTTGCTGGGAAGAATTATTTTTGTCGGGGGCTGTGGTGCCCCAGCAGCTCACGGATGAGCCTGGTTCCTCGCCCTCTGAGGGAACATTCTGGCAGCTGCTTTATCAGTAAGCACTTTCCCTTTGTGTCTTTAAAGAGCAATGTGTTTTTGGCAGAAAGTTCCGACAGAGTCCGATCTAGACGGTCATTTTCTTCTCAAACAAAGGGTATCGAACCCAGTAGCTCTTCACTGAGAGGCAGAATTGCCCTTTTTATCCGACCTTGACTGGACGGTGAATGCGTTCTATCTCCTGTCAGGACTCACGTGCTGTCCTGATCCGGTCGAGCCAGCGGGTGGCCGTCTTCCAGGGAAAGATGTTCATCACACCTTTTCTCGGGTGGGTTGAAGCCAGGGCTGTAGGAGGGAACGCTCTGGATGGTTCCTCTCAGCAGAGGTGTTCAAAGTGTATTCTGGGTCCCTTCGGGGGATTCACCACTTCACAAGACCCCGTCATTTAGGGCTCTGCTGCCTTTATCTGTTTTCATATCGGACTTTCTGGAAAGAGTTGGAAATGCTCCTTAAATGGCAGTGCGTCTCCTGGAGATTCAGGGGAAAAACAAAAAGCCCACGTGAGGAAGGCCTGCTTGAGGGCAGAGGACGGCGTTGTTTATTCATGAAGTAGGAGGAAGCCCGAGTTTCACAAAAACGGAAATGTCAACCAACACTTCCATCTAATTACTATAATCTTCTGAACGAGGTCGGTTCGTGCTGGGTTGGCTCTTACCGTCCAGTGTCCCTGAGAGCTGGCTATACGGCCGCGTGACGGGTCCCGAGAGTGCGGGCCGCGCGGCAGCCTCGGTGTAGCGCGTCACACGCCGTGGGCACCGCCTGTTACTCCACAGCATCCAGCCCGGGTGGGTGGGGGTCACTGCTCCTCGGGGGTCTTGTGACTGGACTTCCGTGACCCGCAAGTACTTGTTGGCGCTCCGGGCTAACCTCGCTTTTCAGAAATTGTAGGAAATTGTTTACAGACCCCTTGACCCTTGTGGGTTTCTATTTTTAGCCTCCCAAGAATGAGTCCTTGGAGGCTTACCCAGTGATGAAGTACAGTCCCTACGTGCTGCCCGTCCAGTGCACTGGCAAGGTAAGGGGGCGCTCCGTGGCCAAGGGGGTGCGAGGGGAGGCTGGGTGAGCTTGCTTTAAGGTAGAGGTGACACTTCAATAGGGGCAACGAGACCTGTTGCTTGAGGGCATCAGTCTCAACTGAGCGTAGCTGCGTGGGTGACATGGCGTAAGGGGAGAGAAAGCGGTAACGAGACTAAAGCCGCATGTCGGTTTCTCCACCAGAACGAGAAGCTGAATTATTTGAATCAAATCAGCCGGAATATCGGGTTTATGGAACCGAGCGGTGAACTAGCCCACGCAAGTGCTTCTCTGGCGCACGTGGGGTGTTGAAAAATTTGAGGCCAGCTGTTTTTTTGTTTTTGGACACGTTCCCATTAAAAACTGTGTTTTTGGCTTTTCTTAAAAAACAATGAAAGAGAACAGTACTTGGTCCCTTTAGACCTACGAACAGGCCCCTGATGGGACGACTGTTCAGCAGGGCAGACGGAGGAAAGGGGCGTCTGTGAGCAGGAGAGGAGACGGTGCAGGAAAGTGAGAGGCGGCTTAGGCCGCTGGGAGGAAACACTGACGCGGCGCCCCGGGCCCTGCGCCACCGCCGCTGGGTTTCTGCCGTTGGGCGGCGGCTCCCTTTCTCGCTGTGTGGGCTTTGGAGACCCGCTCGGTTGGCCTCTGTTCCGGTTCCTTCTCTTGAACAGTAGCACAGGCTCCTTTGCGGCCCCTTCCCGTGGCCGTGCGCGCGCGGTCTCCTGTCACGCCCGAGACCACAGCGGTGTCCTCGGGGGCTAGTGGCCCCCCGGCCCCCCCGGGGGAGGCGCGTCCGAGGACGGCCGGTCTCCCTGTGGCCGCGGTTCGCAGACCGCTCTGCGGGACCCGGCGCCGCCTGGGACCTCGGGCGGCCGTCCGGGCCGTGAGCTGCTGAAACTGTCCCCCTCTGGTTTTCAGCGAGACGAAGACAAGGACAGAGTCGGCAACGTGGAGTACTTCGGCCTGGGCGGCTACGCCGGCTTCCCGCTGCAGTACTACCCCTACTACGGCAAACTCCTGCAGCCCAAGTACCTGCAGCCGCTGCTGGCCGTGCAGTTCACCAACCTCACCATGGACACCGAGATCCGCATCGAGTGTAAGGCGTACGGGGAGAACATCGGGTACAGCGAGAAGGACCGTTTCCAGGGACGCTTCGATGTAAAAATTGAAGTTAAGAGCTGATCACAAGCACAGATCTCTCCCACTAGCCGTTTCAAAAGTTAAAAAAGATACAGAAACAAAAACCTACTAGTCTTGAATAAACTGTCGTACGTATGGGACCCACACTTCATCTATACGCTTTACACTAGCTTTCTGCATTTAATAGGTTAGAATGTAAATTTAAAGTGTAGCAATAGCAACAAAATATTTATTCTACTGTAAATGACAAAAGAAAAATAAAAATTGAGCCTTGGGACGTGCCCATTTTTACTGTAAATTATGATTCCATTACTGAGTCGTAGTAAGCAGTGTTTCTGGCCCCTAAGTATTGCTGCCTCGTGTATTTGATTTCGTGTACAGCGCTGTAGGTACACACTGGTCATTTTCCAAGCCATGTTTTATTGTGTCTGTTTTCTACTTCATGTGAGCAAGGTTTGCTGTCCACGGTGTAAATACTCAATGGGAATAAAACTGGCATGGTACTTTTTTTTTTTTTTTTTTTTTTTTTTTGGTTCAGCTCTTTCAAAGATAATGGCCCATCGATGAGCATTTTTAACACACTCCATAGTCTCTTCCTGTGGTGTTAGGTCTTTTTCCTTTTTTCTTTTTTTCCTGGGGCTGGGGGTGGGGGGCTGTCATGGGGGAACTGCCCTTTAAATTTTAAGTGACACTACAGAAAACACACAAAGGTGATGGGTTGTGTCGTGCTGTGTACTGAATGCTGTCTTGCCGTCTCTGCCCTGGTCCTCCGGTATGTTCTGAAGCCGCCTGTCACTTGGGCAACGTGACAGGGCGAACTCATTTGCTTTGTACATTTCCTTTTACTTTCTTCCTTTCTCTGGAGGCATCACATGCTGGTGCTGTGTCTTTATGAATGTTTTAACCATTTTCATGGTGGAAGAATTTTATATTTATGCAGTTGTACAATTTTATTTTTTTTCTGCAAGAAAAAGTGTAATGTATGAAATAAACCAAAGTCACTTGTTTGAAAATAAATCTTTATTTTGGACTTTATAAAAAGCAATGCAGTACCCCATAGACTGGTGTTAAATGTCGTCTACAGTGCAAAACCCATGTTCTAACATATATAATAAATGCCGGGAGTACAGTGCTCTTGTTGACCTTGTATTCAGTCAGGTTCAAACAACGGACAATAAAAGAATGAACACATCCCTCATGTGCCTGATTCGGTCTCGTCTCAATGCCCCGGCCTGTGACTTCTTTGTTTCCTGTGCTGCTAGTTATCCAAGATCTTGAAGAAGTACTGAACCTGGAAAAGACAAACACATGAGTGAGTGAGTGAGTTCACGTGGAAAGTTTGCCTTTTCTCGGAGCTGGGGTCGCTGAGGGAGCACCCCTTCTCCACGGTGACAGCTAGGCTCCTCCCAGGCACAGACCCCGGGAGCTCTTCGTTCCGAGTTGGAAGTTTACAAGTGTCCTGTGGGGTCCACTTCGCCTAGTTTAGAAAACATGATTTTTGGTTCCTGCTGGTGTTTCACTAGGTTTGTCTGTTTAAAAAAGTCTGTAGTTCAGTTGCAAAACTGAGGTTAGGTCTGAGGTTCAGTACCTTAAGGTTCATACCTTGCTTTTTGGTTCGTGGTTTGGCCTATGTTACTTATTTAGCCATTCTTAAAAATTCGCCTTCGTGTGAAATAAGACAAGAAAAATTTGAGTTTTCTGGAAAACCTACTCCAGGTAGGACTCAGCTGAAGACTTAGGATCACTTCTCCCACACGGGAAATGCCCGCCCTGGGACCCTGGCATCATACTTCTGAGAGTGGAAGCCCGAGCCACCCACTGGTGTGCAGCGGAGATGCCCTTCCGTCCCCGCGTCCCTCTCGCGACAAAGGCGGCCGCTCACGTGACCGCAGACGGGCTTCAGAAGTGGCGGTAGCAGCTCACCCCCCCCCACCTTCCCTGCCTCACGTCTACTATCCTGCTGACCTGTTTCTCTTGTTTGTTCTTTAAAAATAATACCCGAGAGGGGCGCCTGGGGGGGCTCAGTCAGTTGAACGTCCAACTTCAGCTCAGCTCGTGATCTCACGGTTCGTGAGTTCGAGCCCCGTGTCGGGCTCTGTGCTGACAGCTCGGAGCCTGGAGCCTGCTTGGATTCTAGGTATTTCTCTCTGTCCCCCACCCCTACCCCCTGCTCTTTCTCAAAAATAAATCCTAAAACTTAAAAAAAACTAAAAAAACAAAAACACCTGAGACTTTTGCTATTTCTAGACTAGCAAATCGTGTGATGGCAGCTTCATACCAGAGGAGCACAGATTCCGTTTAACAAAATGGGCAAAGGGGACGGTGCACAACAGCACTACGCTTAGCTGCCAAGCTCTCAGGAGGCCCCCCCACAAGGGAGCAGACCCAGCAGCTTCTGTAAACACACCCGACAGAGCTGGTTACTCAGAATGTCCCCCTCACGCTCCTAGACATAGAAGGTCTCCTAGAACACAGGCCGGCTCATCTCACTCCAGCGACTCCTCTTCCAGGGGCTTGTCAGTCGTAAACGTGATACTTAGGAACAAGAAGGGGGATGGTTTTAGGTCTGGAGAAAGGAGTATACAAACCGAGGACAGGCGGTTAGTCTGCATTTTTGAGGCTATTCTCAGGTCACGACCTGAGACCTGATCCCCTGCTGTACTATCCTGAGCTGCTGTGTGTGCGGTACGTGTGCGTGCGTGTGATCTCCGCCCCATCACTCCAGGATCCTGCCCAAATCTGTTCCCCGCCACCTCTCCAGACTCCGGTCCCCACCCTGAGCTACTATGAGGCTCTGGAAGGTGGTTTGTAGTCTTTGACTCCGTAGATATCCGCTGACTGACTGCTCGGTGCCAAGCACCCTTCTGACAGCTGGGGACAGATCCGCGAGTGAACCGAACACACAAACCTGTCTTCCTTCCTCCGCAGGTCACGTTCTAGTATTAAACACCGCATGTTTTGTTTCTTGCTTCTCTTCATTGATCAATCCTGTCTCTTCTCATATCACTTTATTCCGTCCCTTATTAGAGGGCACTTTGGGTAGAGGGTTGGTGCCATCTACCTCCTCTGTCGTGTTCTGATGACACCCTACACAAGTCCCGTCAGCTACGTACTTCCTTGCACTGAATATAAAGGAATGAGTTTTCAAAGGCGGCGTCTGTCAGAGGTGTGCCGAGGACCGCTGGGAACACAGTGCGTTAGAACAATTACTGCACTGAGGAAACAGGGTTCTCCCTTCAAGGTTTTTGTTTTCTCTCAATCCATCATATCCTAGTCTCCAAAGGCAAGTTTTGGTACGGGGCTAGTGCGTCTTCAGCCCAGGTTACTCCGCCTTTCAATTAGAGCGATAACAAGGCCATGGGCTCTGAACCGGTCACAAGCAATATTCTCTAGCTAGAATTTAATAGCTTTTGTTTTCATTGTATTTCTGTTATTACCTTCACGTAAGGACAAGTAATACTAGTTTTACATTTATAGCAAGCAAACAAATTTGTTCAAGTCAAACACTGGATGTAAAGGAAAATGGTAAAAGAAATGCAAAAGCCCCTTCAGCTGGTACGCAGATAGGGTAAAACTCATTAAAAGTGAAACACAGCCAACAAGAATTTAGGAACATTTGGCCCAAAGTATAGCATTAGCAGAAGCTAAGTTTTCCTGGTTCTGTACCTGTTTGGGCAAAATCAAGTTTGAACTCTATTTCAGAACAATGGCACGCCCTGTCTGCTCAAGTTCACTCATTACTAGAGGGAATGGCTCCAATTCCAAACGAGAAACATGCTCGGTAATCAGAGACGAAAATCCAGTTATCAGGACCTTGCAAAGTCCAGCGACTGTTCCGATTCTTGGCTTCTTAAAGGATCAGCGCCACTTCTGTATGGTGTGTGTCTGGCCCAGGGAGGAGAATTAGGTGAGGTTACTTTGAGTCTTCAGGACTAAGGACCTCATGAATACAGAGGGAAACTTACCCAAGGAGCATTCAAGAGCAGTTTTAATCGAGTAAAGTGATCTGGGTTTCAAATTCAACAGGGAAAATGCGCGTCTCCCTTCTCTTCTTAAAGAAGGAGCCAGCTCTGACCCGACACGGCCATGTTATCTACCATCGGGTGGGCCCTGGGCCGGAAGAGCTGCTGAGCGAGCGAGCTTGTTACTCTCCCAACCGATGGCTGCAGTTAGCACTCCTGTCCTACCCAACGTGAAGCGAAGAGGGTTAGCCCAAGACAGATACCTTGGCTCATGTTTTAATTTTGTTAGGTGCCTCTCAAAGACTGTCTGCATCAGTCTGTTCTGAGAAATTAAGTACCTCGTTAAGAGGCGCTGACTCTTGCTGACTACAGAGCCCCGCTCTTTGCTTGGCCACAAATGAATTCCACACCCTAAGAAAAGGCCCATATTGCAATAAAACTGATATTTCCAGCTGAATTCACCACAAAGCCTTTAAAATTCTGGGTTTTAATAAAATCAGGGCTCCTCCAAGCAGTTGGTAAAGGGCTGTCTTTTCCAGCAAAATGTATACCTTCCCCTAGTGCTGGCTCTTTGCAGACCAGGAAGGAGCTGCCACAAGGTGCCTGGGAACCCCTGTGCTCAGCCAGCTACCGTGCCTGTGAGTCACTGGATCAGTCCACCGGTTTAAGTGCTTCAGGATCCAATATTTCATTCCTGTGAAAGGTGGCCCTTCAGTGTTTCCTACAGGGATTTGCAGTTATGAAATTAAATAATGGAGAGGCAAGGGAGCTGTTCTGCAAAAATGGAAAGAGGATCCATTCCTCTGATGAGGAGCAAGGGTTCTAAAATGACCCGTGGTCAGAGTGGCTAAAACGAACAAATCAGGAGATAGATGCTGGCGAGGATGTGGAGACACGGGCACCCTCCTACACTGTTGGTGGGAATGCAAACTGGTGCAGCCCCTCTGGAAAACGGGGTGCAGTTTCCTCAAAAAGTTAACACTAGAACTCCCCTATGACCCAGCAATAGCACTGCTAGGAATTTACCCAAGGGACACAGGAGTGCTGATGCATAGGGGCACGTGTACCCCAATGTTCAGAGCAGCACTCTCAACAACAGCCAAAACAGGGAAAGAGCCTAAGTGTCCATCAACGGACAAATGGATCAAGAAGATGTGGTTTATCTATACGATGGAATACTACATGGCAATGAGAAAGAATGAAATCTGGCCACGTGTAGCAACGTGGATGGAACTCGAGGGTGTTATATTAAATGAAATAAGGCAGAGAAGGACAGATACGGTATGTTTTCACTCATGTGGATTAGGAGAAACTTAACAGAGGACCATGGGGGAGAAGAAGGGAAAAAATAAATAAGGAGAGGGAGGGAGGCAAACCATAAGAGACTCTTAAATACTGACAACAAACTGAGGGCTGATGGGGGTGGGGGAACGGGGAAGGGGGGTGATGGGCATGGAGGAGGGCACTTGTGGGGATGAGCACTGGGTGTTGTACGGAAACCAACTTGACAATAAACTATAATAAAAAAAAACCAAAACACAAAAAGAAAGAAATTAAAAAAAAAAAAAAACAAAAACGACCCATGGGTGAGGATCAGGCCTTGGGGGAAGGTTCTGGTGATTCTGCACTGGGGCCTCTGGGCAGCAAGGGAACAGTATAAGGCCAACAGGCACTTCGGAGTTCTACCATAGAAAATGGAACATGACATCCACAGAAACCTTTGCCTGGAGCCGGCCTCTCTTCTTTCACTCACAAATTTCTCTGGAGCGTTGACCCTGAACTCGGGGAGGGGAGTATCCACACAGACAAGGTCCCAGTTCTGTAATGTCGCTGCCTTCACATTTCCAAATATCTTTAATGCCCTAAACTATTCTCTTATCTGTACTTAACTTCCTTTCCTGCCTACTTCTGCCAATCATCCACATAACTAACACAGCGAACACACACATCCAGGATAAATAACCCAGTAACGCGTGAGCCCTGGTCCTCAGAAATCTCATATCCAGGAAAGAGGAAAATCCAGGTTGTCAAATCAAAATCCTATAGTGTGCAGTGATGTAAAGGGAAATAATTAACTGCCAGTGGGACACAAAACCTTTCATATGGGGGTTAACATTTGACTTGAGTTTGGATGACGAGCTGAGTTTGGTGTAGACGAAGGGATCAGTGAGCTGTAGTGGACTATACGGCCGCCTGGGCTAACGGGTCATGCCACTCGACCAAGCTGAATA